GGGTTAAAATGCGTTTTAAACAAAGTTAAGTGGTTTTCATTACCCATTTTACTCTTAGTAATTTAATACATTTCATAATTTAAAAGTTTAGTTCAGAAGTATCATATCGGTATCGGTATCGACGATACTGCCTTGAAAAATATTGGTTTGGTATCGAAAACAAAATAAGTGGTATCGCCCATCCCTACTCAACGCGCTGCAAATAGAAAAAACACCTGCAAATTAAGAAAACAACTTCATCAATTTGACAACACACGCGCTGCAAATACTCACAACACACCCAAACAAAGAAACGCGCTGCAAATACAATTCTTTATTTAGTTGTGGTGTGAGCATTTGCAGTGCGTTTCTTTATTTGTTTGCGTTGTGAGAATTTGCAGCGCGTGTGTTGTCAAACTGATGAAGATGTTTTCTTGATTTGCTGGTGCGTTTTCTATTTGCATGTGTTTTCTGAAGTTGCAGCGCGTTGAGCTCTCTCGGCCACCGTATATTCCTGCATATGTTATTGTTAACATTTTTTGACCTAGTAATGTTTATTGAAATAGTCATAACAAGAAACTTTTGAGTGTTTTGAACACCCACATCTCAAAATTGAAACAAAAAATCGAATTAACAATTAGTTCCCGTATTTTATTAATTCATTTCCACCACGAATTAAGAATTTGTTCCCTCTTTTTAGTAAATCATGGCCACGTTGCATTAATTTGTTCCCTCATTTATTTTTTTATTAGTTCCCTCGTTTTAGTTAAATTGAGGCCACACATTAAGAATTTGTTTCCATGACTTATTAATTAGTTCCCACAACTTCTTAATTCATTCCCTCATTTTAGTAAATCGGGGGCCACATTGTACTAAATAATTCCCTACTTTTTATGAAATCAAAACTTTTTATTACCAATTAGTACAATGTGGCCACGATTTACAAAAACGAAGGAACGAATTTAAAAAATGAGGGAACAAATTCCTAATTCGTGGCCACGATAAATATATTTTGTTCGCATGTTATGTGCGGCTCTCTGTACATGTACACTCATATTCCCTTTGAATCTCTTCCACGCTTTCAATAGGATATGCCCGTATTGTACTGGCTCTGGTATCCTTCTACCTGATGCCCTGCTGCCCGGGTCCAGCAGTGTTTTGTTACCTACTGAGTGCCCTGTTGGATGCCTTCGATGGACACGCAGCTCGCGCTCTTAATCAAGGTAGTGATCTTCAGCTTTGTGTTGTACATTATTCCTCTTTCTGTGCTTTTCTCTCTCTCTATGCTCATCCCTGCCTCTTCCTTAGGTACAAAGTTTGGTGCCATGCTGGACATGTTGACAGACCGTTGTGCCACCATGTGTTTGTTGGTGAACCTGGCACTGCTGTACCCGTCCTACACTTTCTTGTTTCAGCTCAGCATGTGTCTGGACATTGCCAGCCACTGGCTGCACCTGCACAGGTGTGTCCAAACATCAGTTATCCAATAGAATGCTAAGGAATGAGTCCTAAAACCCATCATCCCCAAGTCGATGTGGTTTCAGTGTGAATGAGTTTTTGGTTATATGCTTGAAATAAGGGCTGCATTAAAGGGGTCATATGATCCGATTTAAATTTTTCGTTTCTCTTTGGAGTGTTACAAGCTCTTGGTGCATAAAGAAGATCTGTAAAGTTGCAAAGACTAAAGTCTCAAATCCAAAGAGATATTCTTTATAAAAGTTAAGAGTCAGCCACACCTACCTAAAACGGCTCGTTCTAACACGCCCCCACATATCTACCTCACTATGTGGGAAGATTTGCATAACGCCGCCCAGATGTTCACGCAAAGAAAGAAGGCATAACTTTTATTCTTGCTGTAGTATTGTTGTTGCCGCCGCAGCCATGTCGTGCTGTGTTTCGTTGTGAAAGCGAAACTACTTTGTTTGGTCTTCCAAAAGAGGACGATATCTTTAATGTTTTTGTCTCGTCGCTCCGGCTTGACAGGGCATCACAATATGGTAAGGGCGTAACATTTCCGTCACACGCTTAAGGTATTCGGCCAATCACAACGCACTGGATAGCTGGCCAATCACAGCACACCGCGCTTTTCAGACCGATGAGCTTTGTAAAAATTGACGCGTTTCAGAAAGGCGGGGCATAGAGGAGAAACAATAATGTACAGTATGTGGAAAATAATGTGTTTTTTTTAACCTTAAACCACATAAACACATTTCATTACACCAAATACACAAAATAATGTTCTTTTTAGCAACATCATATGACCCCTTTAAAAAGTATGTTCTATGTAGTATGAATGTAATCTGGATGTACTACATTTATCATGTTGTCATTGTCATATGACCTACTAGCTTCATTTGCATCAATTCATTGCCATTCACAAGTGGGATAGTAAAGTTTCCGTCACAGGTCATCTGGGGACTTTTTGCCTACTTTTTTATGAATACTGTGAATTCTGACATATTATTCTGTTCCCTTCCTTTTTTAGCCTACTATATAGCAGGGAAATATGCAATTGCAGAAGCAGCAAAGGTCTGTGGTTAACACAAGCTCAAGATATTTGTAAGTTTTATTCTATGACATAAAATACATCAGTTAAATTTTTTAAAGCATTTACGTGTCTTGAAAAAGGTAACAAGTGCTAACAAGTGGCTAAATGGGACTAGAGAGGTTGTCGGTGATCATGATGAACAAAACATGTAAGGATCATAAACTTTTGTTGGTTTTCTGCAATAATCCAAAAGACAGTTGTGGAGCGGACCGGAGCTTCCAGGTTGGCCTATAAAAATATGTCATCCCTGCAGCACTCTATAAGAGACATCTGATGTATGCATGCATAAAGTTATAGTTGATTTAAGACCATACTTGGGGGCATTTGGGTCTCTAGAAATCTCTTAATGTTTACAGATTATCACACCCCAAATTGATAAGCATCATCCATCAGAGGCAGATCCTGGCATAGGCTACATAGTCATTTTGCCTAGACTGGCACAGTTCTCTTGTGTGACATGGGACACTACTGCCACCCCTGCACATAGCTCTCAGACGCACACTCCACTTGTCTAATTGCTAATTTGTAGTCTGCTTTTCATTCCAGTGAAATTGCAAAGTTAAATGCTCCCGCATTTCTAATATACATCTACTATATATCGACAAACAATTGCAGTTTATTGCTCCTTTATTGCAGTCATCTGCAAGCTTGTATTCAGATCGGTCTCCATCCAATTATATTTTGTTCTTTTTCGATAATGCATTTCACAGTACGGAAGAAATGATTTGTTGCTATTTCCGTTTCATCGCGGCTTTAAAAAACACTTTTTATTTATTTGTAACCCACAAGCTAGCTAGATTTTCCTTGTAACACTTTATTAAAATCAGTAACTAACACTATTATCTAACTCATGTCAGAATATAAGTTTGTTCATAAACAAAAATCATAAATGTTAATAAATTCTATCTTCTCCACGGACTCCCTGGAGTACGTTCATGGATCTCTACAGGCCCCTAGAATCCAATTTTATTGTATTTAATTTAAGTATCTGTGTTCCCTGCATGTTCTACATAAATCATTGTTAATAATATGAGTTGTTCCTTTTTTCCCATTTCTTTCAGTTCCATGATGAAGGGAGCCACCAGTCACAAGACCATTGACCTCTCTGGCAACCCCATCTTACGGCTGTACTACACATCCAGGGTAACACACTCACTCATGCACATTCCTTCACACAGTCAGGAACTCCCATCAAAAGCTTATTGAGTTGTTCTTAAATCTAGTGAAAAAGTTTTACATGTACTGGCTGTTCTGACATCGGTGTTTTTCCACAGCCGGTGCTGTTTTTCATGTGTATGGGGAACGAGCTGTTCTTCTGTCTGCTGTATGTAATGTACTACATCAAGGAACCCCAGGGTGAGTATCAGCATGCTGTTTTCTCACTGTCTTTATAATGGACCTACTGTGACTGTGATTTTATATTTATAACACTATATTTTGTGTTATATTACCTCGGCAACTGCTGCATGAGTGTTTCTAAAACAACGGCTGAGGCTTTTGGAGCAAATAGGATCATTATATATATATATATATATATATATATATATCTTTCCATTTGCCAGATTTATTCATTGAAGTAGTACTGAATTCATAAGGATGCACTATAGCAATGCTATAATACAAATTATATTTTACATTTTTTTCTACCCAGTGTGGCTACAATGGCTGCTGGGAGTTTGCAGCGTGGTCTGTGTGCTGAAGTCTGGCATTAGTCTCCTCCACCTCATCACCGCCTCCCGTAACATGGCTGCTATCGATGTGGCTGACCGTGAGAGAGAGCGGAGCAAAGCACAATGAGACATGAGAGTATGCAGAAACCAAGAAAAATGAGACAAAGGCTGTGCAAAAGAGATGAGCAGAAAAAAGAGTGATGAGATCGCTGGCCAGTATAAATGAGGATGAGATAATGGAAATCAATTATGGGACCACACAAAGCCTCAGTGAGCATTTATATTTATTTGAATATAGATTATCAATGCTATAATGCCAGGGCAAATTCCTTACGAGTTTTACCCATATTCCTGTAGTTGTGCTTTTCATTGCTGTTGATGGAACTAGTAGTTGCACAATGAGTGTACCATGTTTATGTCATCTTTGGGGTGTCATCATATTCATTTTTATGTTTGAGGGTTAATTTATTAGTTAATGGAATAATCATGTATCATTTAAATGGAATTTAGAATAGCTCTGCTATTTAAAACCAACATTTCCACACATGCACACACACACACACACACACACAGACAGGCACATTCCACGCTTCAGCTGAAAGCCACTTGAGTATTACTGTATTTGGCCATTGTTTTATCATTAGTTGTGGTATTTAATTATTTTGAACTGTCTGTATGAGCCTGTCTATAACTGTTTTATTACACTCACTGTTGTTTTTGTTGCAGGTATATCAAAGAATGTTTATCTGTTTGAATATTAGTTTGAAGAGTGTGAAGCCATTATTATATTAAGCAAGTGGCTCAGGCATCATTTTCGTCCATAGCCTCCTGAATGTATTATTGGGTTGTGGTAGAGGGGTAGACGTACTGTTTGCTGTCTAAAGTTTTACAGCTGTTGTTATAAATGATCTGAAATATATGAGAGTTATATGATTGGAGAAAAGTAATTTTGTACTGTAACTGATGATTTGACAATAAAGATATCCTGACAACAAGATGCAGCTGTTTATTTATCAAATTCTAACAGCCCTGCAGCTGTTACTGATGATATATTACCATCAGCCCAGCAAACACAAAACGTTCTCCTTGTTAGGTTCTCCCTTTGGGAAGCAATTTATATATATATATATATATGGAAGTCGTGGCCTAATGGTTAGAGAGTCGGACTCGTAACCCAAAAGGTTGTGGGTTCGAGTCTCGTACCGGCAGGGATTGTAGGTGGGGGGAGTGAATGTACAGTGCTCTCTTCCACCTTCAATACCACGACTGAGGTGCCCTTGAGCAAGGCACCGAACCCCCAACTGCTCCCCGGGCGCCACAGCATAAATGGCTGCCCACTGCTCCGGGTGTGTGTTCACGGTGTGCGTGTGTTCACTGCTGTGTGTGTGCACTTTGGATGGGATAAATGCAGAGCACTAATTCCGAGTATGGGTCACCATACTTGGCCACATGTCACGTCACTTTCACTATATATATATATATATATTTTTTTTTTTTTCAAGAACATTTAATTTAATGCTCATATTGTGTGAGATAATGTTTTGGTTCATTTGAATGCCTAATTAAACAATTAATGAAAAGACGGTCTTATGCTGCTGGTGTAATGTAGAGAAGTTAAGTGAACGTTAAAGCAACGTTCTCTGAACCATCACGCACAACCTAAAACAAACGTTCTATTTCCTTTAAAAGTGCATGAGTGTTCTGTTCTGTTCTGGGAACGGTTTGCGAGGATCAAAAAGGAACGTACTGTCTGGGAGCTCATAAAATTGTTAGTTGGGCGTGAGTCTGATATGTGTGTTTAATCCCATTGGGCGCGTACAATTATTATCGGCAGTGATCTGGAGCCGCTTATTGTTTACCGCAGCTGCGTCTGCGTGCGTCTTTACCTTTAAGGACCTGCGACATTTTTCCCCCATACGAACATCCAGTTGTCTACCGCCGAGAATCTCTTGTGCTGTAGAGCTGGATTTTAGAGAAGAACGCGCGGATGGTTTCTTTTAACTGATCTCGACGTTTATGCTGTAATTTGCGTCGGCCGAACTCGAGCGCCGGAGGGGCGCGAGAGGACGACACCGCGCTCGAGAACATCGCGTGGAGGAGGGGACGAAGACACGGAGGGGGTGTTCACTCAAAATATACTATCCCTTTAAAACAAGGGGGACACGGCGGTGGGGGAGAGATAGCGGGGCAGAGAAGACGGGATAAAAAAAGAAAAGGAAGAAAGAGCGAGGGTGGGAGGGTGAGAGTATTACAGGGAAAAAAAGGAAAAAATGTCATCCTCCGTGGGGGAGCCGTGGACGACGACCGGTGAAGCGCTCGCCAGACACGAATGAGATTTAACGCAACGCCGAGGCTCGCGCAGATGCCGCTCGGGGCCTGGATGAAGAATCTTACAATAAAATTGATGGCATTTTTATTTTTAACCACGCTGTGCGACCGCTGAGAGCAAATTAAACATTAAACTGCCATTTTAATTAGGTTATTTCTGCATGAATTATCACACAGCGGTCTAATTAATAAGAAAACATTACATGCAGAAATTAATTTTAGATTATATTTTTAAGCATGATAGGCCACTGTTATGTGACAATGCGGCGTTAATAACATACTGTGACTGACAACTCATTTCTTATTTTTTACTGTTTAGAAATAAGGTAAATATATATTTATCAGTGTCGGTGTAATATGCATTCTTTCACTTTTTAAATTTCACTAACATGTCATTTTATATTTGTTTGATTTACAGTTTAATAAATACATTTGATAGAATAGTGGAAGGAGACGTTCTTTCGAATAGTTTATTTCAAACAGCGTCTCTACTGTTCTACATTTCATGATGGATGCAGCTTGGAGCAATTTCCTCTTTCAGGTAAGAAAATGCTTATGCGTACTAATGCTGATAGCTCTTTTGTTATTTGATTTAAATTCATGTCATAATCGCTAGCATTTGTCCATAATGGAACCGGTGTACTTTCATTCATAAGTTAAGGCAAAAGAATGTTTAAAATCTGTGATTTTGCCCCTTTCACGACAGACTCCGCCTTCACAGTCCCAAACTGACGCGACCCTCCAATCAGATCTTCTACCGGAGCTCACGGATACCGCCCAGGACCCGCCCCCTGAGCACATAGCCCCGCCCCCATCCACGGTGGACACAGCGGCGCTGAGCGAGGAGCCCCTACCGGGTGAGGGAGGGGCAAAACAGGAGGGTGGGAAGGGAGTTCACTGGGGACTGGAGAGAGAACCGAGGTTAGGCTGTTTGTAGTTGTGGCATTGGTGGCTGGAGAGCGATGTAAATGAGTGAAGATGTTAATGAGCCAGTTATTTGCATAAAGTTGGAATATCATTTAGGAAGCCTGCATGTTTTCTCTCTTCTATTGTTGCCTTCAAATCAAGTTGGAAAGATCATATTTACAAGATGAGCACATGAACGATCACAGTGTTGAAATATTGTCAGTTCAGGGTTCCAGAAGTGAAAATGTGATTAATTTTCTCTATCCACCTTTTTCTTTAACGCGGAAGTAAGCCTGTGGGTGAGACTTCCGGTTCATTAGCAGCCACTATAGGTAAATAACGAGGAGAATAACGACGTGCAGTAAACGGTAAAACTGTTTGCACTACAAACCAGTGTGTTCATAATTAAGATAATACATTCAAATAATATGATAAGACACACCGCTTCCGGTTCATTAGCCGCTGCGGGGAAATAACGAGAAGAATAACAACGTGCAGTAAACTGATAACGCTACAAACCAGTGTGTTTATAATTAAGATAATACATTAAAATAATATGATAAGACACACCAACTTTCAATATCAAGCAGTAAAACTAATTGTTTTGTTCAGCTAAAAATAGCTGGACGGAATGGATGCAGATGAGACCGGAAGCCAGACCCATAGAATTTACAAATGGCCGCACCCATTTTTACGACAAGAAAAAGATGGATAAACTAATGTATTTTAATGATCCTGCCTATTTGTCAGAAAACAACACTACCCACAATAACTGAAGAGAGATTCACCATTCAGAGAAGTTGCTGTTACCATGGAAACAGAAAGTGGGTTAATGAACCAGTGTTGTTATAGTTAACTAAAACTATTAAAAACTGATCATTAAAACAAAGCTGAAATCAAATAAATTATAACAATGTGATGGAAATCTTAAAATTAAAAACCTGGGGAAAAAAATGGAAAAGTTGCCTTGGCATCTAACTAAAATAAGTTTAAGTTGAATTATAATATTTATACATGTAAATATTTATATCAATTTAAAATGAGGTGCTGCTTGGGATGAGTAGTTCATTGAGTAGTTCATCACAGACATACACAGTCTAATACCATCCTCTTTTTTTCTCCAACCTTTCAAAACCTTTGTACTTAAAATCAAAGGCTTTTATGATGTGATTCATGTTGGAACTGCTTAGAGGTCTAAACTAAAGAATCTTTTTCAAATCCCTAGGGTAAAAATACTTCCGGAACCAATGCATATTGGCCCTTTTTATGCATTTCATGTAGTCCTGATGAAAAATAGCAATAAAACATGCTAGAAAGTTCTCTAATGGTAAGAGAATGAAAAAAAAAAACACAGATAAAGCATCAATTGCATAGCTAATGTGCATTTTTTGCACATTATTGTGATGCAATAGTGCTAAAAAGGTTCCTGTTTTTGCTAGTAAGTGGAAAAAAGAGAAAGAAACATGACATTTCCCATGTGATTTCACATCTCATCGTAATTACTGCTTTCAAGCATTTAAGTAGAAACTTTCTAGAATTATTTGAATACAGCATAGTGTGTTTCTCAAGTCTAGGTGTTTGTTTGCGACAAATAGCGTACACCTGTATATGAACACTTACAGTGTCCTCTAACCATCTCTCTCTCTTTTTCTCTTTCCCAGTGAAGCCAGTCACTCGACCAGTCCGACCTGCACACATCTGCTCCATATGTAATAAGCAGTTTAAGAACAGTTACAACCTGCGGCGTCACCAGTCTGTCCACACTGGAGTGAAGATGAAGGACAGAGCCGCTAGAGAGAAAATAGACGGAGGAAAGGCTGGAGCAGGAGTGGAGAGGCAGACCATCCCCCTTTCTCTCCTCCAGCTGTCTATACCTGCCTCCATACCCACAACAGTCGACCCCATGGCCCAGCCTTCCCCAATCAGCAATCAGCAGCTAGAGACGGTGGCTGTCTCTATCGCCCCAGCAACGATCGCCATGACAATGAACCAGCCCCTCCCTACTGCAGTGGTGGTTACTGGGACAATGGTTCAGGTCGGGTTGGTTTGTGTCTTTGGTTAATACTTTGCATACCTTTGCAGCACTTCCCTTGTTCTTGCGTTGACTTTTCTACTAATGCCTTTTATCTCATATTTACTTTCTTTGTCATTTTGAACTCACTTTGAGGCACTTTTCATAAATAGGGTTCAAAATAGGGCTTTAAATTAAACAAACAAAAGATTTGTGTGTGTGGATATATATATACAAACATACACACAAATGTCCATTTGAAAGGAGGTGCCCATTAAAAAAAGGTTGATTGTCAACCGCATTTTTTTTTTTTGCAAATTGTTTTAATTTGAGACTAATCTAATTACAGTTTAAAACCTTGATCTATTTTATCTTTATTTTTTAGCAATAAACAGTTAATAAACAATTAAATGTAATATTTAAAATATATGTTTCTGTAAATCCATCATAGGAATACATATATAGATTATTTTATTTTTTATATATTTCTTTTAAAATTATTATAAAATAATAATAATAAAAGCACTGCCATATTGGTTAAAAGGGTTGCAGATTTAAATAATGCTAGCTAGCTGGTTTGGAATAAATGATTTGTGATTATTGATATTTCCTAAAAATATTGTGTGGTAATTTTTTCATACAGTTGCTAAAGGCTGCAATACACAATATGACTTTTGCCCAGATTGTTTTCCCAGATTTACAGTCTGAAGCAGTCAGCACTAGTTGGCATAATTCAGAGCTGGTCTG